TAGATTAACATAAAGAAAGACTGACCTCTGAAGCCTTGCATATTTTAACTATATCAAATACCTAGTTAAGAGAAGGGAAAACGGACATTTTAGTATATCCATATTCAGGAAGAAAACCCACTCCAATAAATATTTAGCCTTCAAATCATCACATCACATCAGAGCAAAGATTTCAGTTGTTTCAAGTCTTCTTCTTAGACGAGCACACTCCTCGATGTTAACGGATGAGAAAGAAAAAGAAATATCAAACATAACCGAAACTCTCAAGCAAAACAACTACCCAAGGAACTTCATCAATAAAACCAAAACAGACATTAAGTATGGCCAAAGATGCATTCCGAAAACATGGACCTCAACAGTCGTCATTCCATATAGAGCAGAGACGTCAGACGATATCAGAAGAGTACTCAATCAGCTCGACATTAGAGTTTTCTTCAAAATATCAGACACACTTCAAAGCAACCTAATCGATATAAAAGACCGAATCCCCAAAGATTCTCTATCTAATTGTGTCTATAAAATAAAATGCTTGGAATGTGATGCAATCTACATCGGACAAACATCTCGAGAAATCAAAATCAGAAGAAATGAACACCATAGAGCTGCCTCTGTTCGACCACCGAGAAATCCAGTTGAACTAGAAAAGCTCGAAAAATCATCAGCCATAGCTGGTCTACACGCCACACTGTAGAATCAGGTCACAAAATTGATTTTGACAATACTGAAATCATCATCCAGAAAAAGCATTACAGAAATCAAAAAGAACGTCTGATATCATTAGAAGCACTCCATATCAAATGGAATCCAAATTGTCTGAATAGGAATGATGGACTAAAACAGAATCTGACTTGGTTACAACACCTCCCTGTTTGTCTGTCTGTCTGTCTGTTTTCGACATAGAACTTTGCACAAATGTGCGGAAGTTCAAGTCGCCACACTCCGTGTAGCACGCGAAGCAAGAGAAGAAAGTACAAGAAAAGCATAATAGAAACAGTGAGCAGACGTGTGAGACAAAGGAGTAATAAAGAAAAACAAAACAGTTTCATTGGAGATCATAAGTCACAAGGAGTGGATGCATCTGCACCAGCCACTGAGAACGATGAGTTTGAGCCATGTCACCAATTGTTTCCAACCATAGATTTTTACCGTCCCGAGGACCCCAACTGGTCAGGAAGTCTACACCTTCCTACGTGGCTTAGACCAACTGTTGTGGATTTCATTGACTGGTGAAACCATGTTTTTGTTTGACCGCCGCTAGCTTTTTTCCAGCCTGACCCTACATCCGCTAACATTCCTCGTCGAGGAAGGCGATGACTTGGCATACGTAACACATGTCCTAACCATCTCAGTCTTTGTAACTTCACGACTTCGTTGATTGAATTCCCCTGTTTACCTAGAACTCGACGTTTAACCTCAATGTTGCTCACCTTATTATGCCACTTTACACAGGAAATAGAGCGCAGGCACCTATGATCAAAGACAGCTAGTCTGTTCATGTCTTCCACTTTGAGTGGCCAGAGTCGGCGTAAACTGGCAAATGCGAAACGAGCCCCCTGTATTCGTGCTGAGATTTCGTCAGAGATCAACCCGTTGGGGCTGATGGTACTTCCCAAATAAGTGAAGCGGTCAACACCTCCCTACCCATGAAGTGACACAATCAACACGAATGTGATAGGCAATTTCACTATGTAAACACACACTACTTTTATAATGTGATCAAATCCAGCAATCTACATTTGGTTTTGTTATCATTACCAATTGGCTAACTTGACAGCGAAAAATGACCCCAGACTAACGAACGATGATCAAGTTAGTAAACTTTATTTTGGTATCATAACAGGTGTATTATTACCTTTGTTATTTGGTTTAGTGATCTTCATTGTTATTTTGACTTTTAATATGTCCCTTTAACGTGACCTAAGTCTATTTTCTCACCTCTTAACTCTTAGTTATATACCAGCTGAGTGGATTTTGTAAATTCTGGTACAATAATATTACTTTGATAAAGTTATTAGCAGCTGCATTAAATAGCGAAACGTCAGTAAAACCGACGATATCGTTTTGTTTTTTTCATTCATTGGGAAATACAAAAAAACCTTTATTATTTCAAATGGAGTAAATGCAAGAGAGAGAGAGAGAGTGGGAGTAGACTCATCACCTATATGTCAGACCTTAATGAAGCAAACAAGATGAGACAAAATACAGAAGTATTCAGTCCTATGTTGTGACCTTTGTAAAAATGTTATCATGTTTTCACGTGATTCCCATGTCACAAACTACATGGTGACACACTGAGTTAGACAGATCAATAATAAATATACACATGTGACAATTTGACATTGGTCATTACAAATATCTGATGACTGTCTAGATTTTCCTGTCTACTGACAGTTGACCTTCAAAGGAATTCACTTCAAAACAATCAATAAAGGTTAATAAAGCAGGATTTAATGAATTCATCAAATGAGCATGAAATACAATCCTCTGTAGGATATTTTATTTAAAAATGGTTATCCTGAGAAGTTCATTAATAAATATTCTAAAGAAATGAGCCCCTGCAAAACAATCCAAACAGTTCCGAAGAAATCTGTCTATATCAGTTTGGTATTCAAAGGAGATGATGTGTACAAGAAGTAGTCAAACAAAGACTCCATTAAGCTATCAAGAGAACTTATTATGCTGCAAAACTTGTTATCCTTAACACCACCACCAAGCGAGTGATCCGACAATCTGTGAAAGACCAGTCGCCAATCCTAAACGCTTCAAACTGTCTACATCAAATTGAGTGTATTTTTGGAAGCAAATACATAGGTCGTAGAGGAAGGCTATTGTCTACTCTCATGGTTGAAAACAGGTGAGTGCAAAGTGCCAAAAACCTCAATAACAAAACATCTTGTGGACGACTATGGACATGGTATCGACACTGTCAAGTCACTCACTGTTGTCAGCTGACAAAGAAACAAGAAGATGCTTGCGATCGCTGAGGAGGCTTGTGCAATTCGAGTTTATAAACCAGGTCTCTGTGTACAAAAGGAGATGGTCATCGCTCTGAATCTACCATGGTATTATTATTATTCTTGATTCATTAAAACTATCTTTTATCAATAGCATTATCTTAACTGACTTCAACATTATTATTATTATCATTAATATAATTAATACTATTGATATTACTCTGCAATTTTTGTTATATTCTCTAATGACTAATTGTTTATCTAAGTGATGTAATTGAGGCATAATGCATTTTTATCTTAATTTCAATCTCTCGTAGTCTCTTTCCCCTTATCTATTTGAACATGACCTGGAAAACATTTGCACCTGTCTTTCTACATGATTAATCCAATGTAGTTTATTTGTGCTTATCAGTCTTATATCTCCCAACGTAATTTCGAAAGTATATATATATCCGTGTATGTAGAGTATTCAGTAGCTGACGAGTTCTACCGATATTTGATGAATTCATCATATCATTCTGCTTTATTAACCTGCTTTGTTGCTTGTTTCAAATTTGTATCGGGAAACAAATGTTTTAAATTCACTTCAGTTTATGTAATTTTTTCTGACCATAAATTTTGATGGTTGTTAATAAAATTTGGATAATTTTGCTGAAGAAGCAGGTGTGACTTACACAGCGAAACGTACAGAAATATCTTGTTTTGAGGTTTTCTTAAACACTCTATGATTATTTTTTTATAAGTTATAATGATTCAATTTGATTCGGAGCTCAGATTATTCCAGTAAATAAGTAACAACTACGATTGGCTAGTTGAACAGGCAACCAGCTTGACGTCGTCACCAACTTGAAGGTCTCCCACTCGATCTCTGGTAAATTTGTGAGTATTATAATAACTAGTGTTGGTTCATGACGTTGATCAATTACTGTTACATGGCGTAGAATTCAAGCGTTATTAGCGCTCTAATTGGTGGTGCAGCTGCTACCTTAACGTGTTGGTCGGGCTTGCACATTACGATGACCCAGCAAGCTACACTGGCTGGAACCAATGTTCCTGCAGGTCCTGCCATACCAGGAAGGTTGTTAGTTTATCGATTAGACTGAAAGCAGTTACCGGCATCGTGTAAGAATTTTTCTTACACTATATGCTGGGGGTATGAAGGCGAAGTCATATTGCTGGGGAACAGGGGTGTAACATATGTATCCATATAATATGTGTGTTTTGTTTGACAGTCTGTTCTTGGTGATATGTATCCACATAATGTGTGTTTGTTTGACAGTCTGTTCTTGGTGATATGTATCCACATAATGTGTGTTTGTTTGACAGTCTGATCTTGGTGATATGTATCCATATAATATGTGTGTTTGTTTGACAGTCTGATATATTTTGCTATGTATGTATGGATCGATATTCCATTATAATTAGCCAATCATGTAAAGACTGTCTATTGATTTGTTCATTTTGAATATTCGCTCACACACTTGTGTTCACAGACTTGTTCGGACATTCTTATATTTTTTCTCTCACACTCTTGTGTGACATATTGATTCTCCTTGTGTTTTGGAAAATAGAAGTATCATCGCAGACCTAGTGGTCTTCTGATTTCCGTCTTTCTTGAGTCAGGACTATTAATTTCTCGACCAGTACATAACATAACAGCAGTGAGGTGTTTCCCTCAGATGATCAGCATGCCAGCCAGCCAGTTATGCTATCTCTCCACTCCGGAGAGAGGGGGTTAGAAAATATCGACCCCAAAAATTGTACATCCCGACTTACTCTACGATGGTCCGTAACCGGCAGTAAGTTTACTAATACGGAACCAATCCAAGTAACCAGTTTATACAGGCCATGTGTGACAGGCCTCAAGCAGTTGTCTCCCGGGCTCTGCTGTCACGCATCACTAACTCTCTTACTGTTTCAGGTACCCGAAGAGTCAGACAGGTGCAGAGTCGACAAGTCAAAAAAAATAACCCTATACTTCATATATCCATTAGGTGAAATATTTAAAATTATAGAAATGAATAAAGTAATTTGGAAGCAACTTACCCATCTATTAGCTATTGACGATGACAAAGCTTCTTCTAACTTTTCAATATCAGAAAACTGAGTCGCTCCATCAGCATCCGCAAACAACAGTATACGACCACGTGCTGAAAGCATTCCCTAAAAAATTGGAAACGCAATGACATACAATACACGCCAGTATAAGGAGACATCAATACCATTTTTAATAATAATAACGTTAACAGACTTCAGACAAAATATTATTTTATTACTATTCTTAAAAATGTTAGCGGATATAGGGTCAGGCTGGAAAAAAGCTAGCGGCGGTCAAACAAAAACATGGCTTCACCAGTCAATGAAATCCACAACAGTTGGTCTAAGCCACGTAGGAAGGTGTAGACTTCCTGACCAGTTGGGGTCCTCGGGACGGTAAAAATCTATGGTTGGAAACAATTGGTGACATGGCTCAAACTCATCGTTCTCAGTGGCTGGTGCAGATGCATCCACTCCTTGTGACTTATGATCTCCAATGAAACTGTTTTGTTTTTCTTTATTACTCCTTTGTCTCACACCTCTGCTCACTGTTTCTATTATGCTTTTCTTGTACTTTCTTCTCTTGCTTCGCGTGCTACACGGAGTGTGGCGACTTGAACTTCCGCACATTTGTGCAAAGTTCTATGTCGAAAACAGACAGACAGATAGATTCTTAAAAATGCAAACTTCGTAGACAATGGAGACCAAATAATGCGCCACACGAAAACTCACAGTTTGCGTCGGTGGCACAGTGGTTAGGACTCTCGCCGACCATGCACATGGTCTGAGGTTCGAGCACACGCCGACGCACACCTGATATCTATGGTCGGCCTGCAAAATTTGGGCTACCGATATCCATGCTGAAAATTCCATACTAGTACCAAAAATACAGTGTGGAATCAAGCTGTAATCAAAAATAAAAAAATAAAATAATACTCAGGCGCCTAGACTGAAGTAGATGGTTGGCTGTCTTGGATGTCAGATCACAAGCATGAAATTTCTGCAAAGATGCCTCCCTGTGGAAATAATCAAGTCATTATTTTTATTTTATTATAGCTTGATTCCATATATGTGGAGGTCAACAACACAACAACAACTAATAAGCATGAAAAATAAGATCCGGATTTTCAACTCCAATGTGAAGTCAGTGCTACTGTACAGATCAGAGACTTGGCGCGTCATAAAGAGCACCTCAAACGAACTACAGACCTTCATTAACAGCTGTCTTCGCTCAATAGTCAAGATCAGATGGCAAGAAAAGATCAGGAACAGGGATCTCTGGGAGCGAACCAACCAGGAACCGACTGTGAAACAAATAGGCAGGAAGAAATAGAGGTGGATTGGTGGCCATACTCTGAGGAAACAAACCATCAAGTGACATCACTAGACAAGCCATTGCTCGAGTGATACCCGACGAAAGGGAAGCGGCGAGTTGGTCATCCAAGGGTGACTTGGAGGAGGTCACGTGAAAAGGAGATGAAAGCATGTGGGCAGACATGGAGCCAGGTGAAAACTCTAGCAGCAAACTGAACGCAATGTGGACGCGCGGCTGAAGCCCTATGTTCCTCTAGGAATTAAAGGAAATAATAATGATTCCACATAGCATTGATATCGGTAGCCCAAATTTAGCAGGCCAACTATTCATGTCAGGTGTGCGTTGGCTGGGGATCGAAACCCACAGACCATGCATGCATGGTCGGCAAGCGTTCCAACTGCTGTGCCACCGAAACACTAAATCAAGTAGTGACCTTACAACGCAGTATATCTACAGAGTGGACGAAGATGAAGTTCTACGAACACTGTTTGCAGACAGGATTTTCGACACTGTAAATTCTTGAAACAAGTTCGAGTGGCTAAACTTCCACCTTCACAAAAGAACCCTCACCAAATAAGAGAATCCCGTAATGAAACTTCATTAAATGTTTCCGGTTTGAAGTCTCATTTGGTTACGTATGATACCTTACTGGACGAGCAAAATATTATTTGCTGGCTCAAATTCATGGACTTTATCAAAGAATTACAATCTAAAACTCTCAAAGAATATTAAAATCAGCTGACGAAAGCATTGGTTAAAGAAAAGTTTGTTGAAGAATTCCCAGAAGCATATGAACGCTACGTATATAATCTATCATAATTACAATTAAGCGAAATTGTATGAGAAGCCTTATCTCTGGAATCAAGTTTCACGTCCCTGAGAAGCAAGCACATCAGCCGTATAGACACGGAAATACAATTCGAAAACTTATACCATCACCATCAAAGAAACAGAAGATACTGACTGGCGATGGCATACAGTAACACTCAAGAAACTATATGAAAATGATGACATCATAGGGTTTACACTCGGAAATATTCGAGGTGGATAAAACTAAAAGGGATGCAACGTAAAGTAAATAAATGCCTCAAAGAACTCCTCATCAAGAAACTGATCAACAAAAAAGAGTACAATGAAGTCAAGTCGAAAAGTTGGATGTACGCCTCCTTTTTTATGTACGACCTACCAAAAACCTATAAGGCTAATGTACCCTTAAGACGCCTATTATCAATGATCAACTCATCATGCCACAAGCTAGCTTAATCCATCGTTAGCTGATTCATTGGAGCTATTTCGAAATAAATTGGTAATTCATAGCTTCAAATATACCTTCCAATTTTCTACACAAGTCGATCATGTCGATGTATCAAAAATAAACTAATGGTGTCGTAAGACGTGACAGCCAGTTAACAAATGTACCAGTGATCGAAACAATCAATATTTTTTTTAATATGTAAAGTTGCGTAAATTAGAGTAAAGCCTGAAGATCTAATTGAAAATAATATTGTTAGCTTCTTTGTCTTGTTCTTTCTTTATCGAAATTTTCAAGTATTGGTTTTGTAGGGATTTTTCTGATTGCATGGAGGGTTTAATCATGAGCTGACGTCAGTTAGAGAACCACTGGAAAACCTGGGTGTACTGGACAGCTGTTTCGTCCTAGTTTGGGACTACTCATCAGTACGCACCCACTGGGGTTCGAACCCAGGACCTTCTGGTTAAAAGGCTAGCGACCTCTTAGACCATTGAGCCACTGAGACTCGATCCAATGGTCCTTGAATTCTAACTTCTGCCAATTTATGACATAGCGCGACCACTTCGCAATGTCTTCTTCGATGAGTTACTGCCTCATCTTCAACCTGCTGTACCCCACTGGTCACGGCTTCCCACTAGAACCCCAGGTTAAATGCCTGAATAGGGCCAGTCGCTAATGAGCATCAGATTAATTTTCAAGTATTGGATCGGGTTCCAGTGGCTCAATGGTCTACGAGCTCGCTTGTAACCAGAAGGTCCTGGGTTCGAACCCCGGTGGGTGCGTACTGCTGAGGAGTCCCAAACTAGGACGAAACAGCTGTCCAGTACACCCAGGTTTTCCAGTGGTTCTCTAACTGATGTCAGCTCATGAGTAAATCCTCCGTGTTATAGAAATTTACCAAGGTAACCAAGTGTGTAAAATTATTCCACTGACTCATAAAGCTACACTTTAATCTCTAGCCGGTAAATTTATGTGTCCACTGGAATGTAAAGGAATAAAAAAAGAGAGAAAGCACTTCTATGAGTGTGGAACTGAAGGCATAAGCGGTTTACTCTACGACTAAATACATGCACACCAGATGATAAGCGGCAAAAACACCATGGCTAGCCTATCAGCTAAGCAAAATCGAATAACAGGTTGAACGCTTTATTTCGACTTTTGTATTGTATCCTTATTCCTTACTCGGTGGCGTCGGCGGCACAGTGGTTGGGACGCTGGCCGACCATGCACATGGTCCGGAGTTCAATCCCCGGCCGACGCACACCTTTGATATCTATGGTCGGCATGCAAAATTTAGGCTACCGATATCGCATGCTGAAAATTCCACACTTGTACAAAAAACACGGTGGAATTAAGTTATAATAAAAAAAATTACTCAATAACAATCTGAGAGGCTGACTCATGAGTTAACCGGGCCTAGTTTATCATCACGCAATTACCGCTGTATATTGCAGGCATACACACATAACTAACTCCATAATAACTAATGGTAAGGTCTTGTGTTGCTCTTAACCTACCATCATTCAATCCTCAGCATCACACAAAAACGTCACTTTATATAGATGCATCAAGTGATATGACTGGACAATGAGCTTAGAGTTCATCTCTTTTTGGTCCCATTCACGTTCTTTTCATTACAAAACGAATAGCTTTATTCAACAGTACCTATATTAAATGTTCGAAATTCTTTCCCTCCTTCGAATATGAGTTGGGAATGAAATTCTCACTGGAAATACTTATGGACACATGCTCTTTCTATTGATTGAGGATATATGTATGTGTAGTTAATCGCCGTTTCGTTTCTGGGATTGTTTTTGTATACTTACATGTTACGAAATTATATCAGCTAAACTACTCATCAAAAGCTGAGCCGATTGTCAATGTTGTCATGTTATGAGTACTACTGTAGTGAGAGCTGGTTGATAGCCGAATTGGTAGACAGTAATTTACGTCAATGTTTATGTCCCCAATATTGGTCGCAAGAAAAATAAGAACAAAGACTGACTAAACAACCAGCCACAGCAGACTTTGCGTAGGCGTTAGCATATGGATGATCTGACATTAAAGAAACAGCCACAAAGAGATGAAAGATTAAATTTTAGTGAGAAACAACTGTAGCGGTAAATAATTCCCTAAAATTATTGACCACAGCAATCATCACTAACATCGGATGCTGACCCTCACTGTTTAAGTCGATTTGTTTAGCTGAAGGCTTTCGGTCAGGCATCCACGCCATTTGATACTCCGTCGTGTCATGTTCGTGCACGATCACTAGGCAGTTAAGCAATCATCTCGCACTCCGATTTGGTCCCGAAATATATCTCGTAATTTGGACGATCAAATAGTGTCTTTTGCTTTACCTTTGGTCTACGCGGAACGAATACTGTAGATGGTGTTAGTATTAGATCTTGCGTTAGTATACTCCGTACAATCCGCGAACGTCAATACCGTCAGCCTTTAAACAACCAATCAGCAGATTGTTTTCCTGCTAACAATAATCTATAATAATGTACATTAAAATCTATAAATATGTGTTGATTTTCTTAATAAATGATATGTTGCCTGGCCCTTGTCTTCTGTTGTTACACTACTACTTATCTTTCTTAACTAGTTTCTGCTGTTCTGCTTTGTGTTTCAGATCCTCAATGCACAACGGATTTTGTAGGTTCCACAAGATCCTGTTACGCAATGAAACTATCTTCACTCAATAGCATCAATCTTAATTGATTCTGGTGGAAAAGTAATGTCTGTCTGTTTTCGACATAGACAAGGTAATGTAAGGGATTGGAGAAATTCTATCTCAGACATTTCGCTTCCAACAATCAATTTGTGAATCTGTATTGGCTGGATCACATTGCGGAGAAGTGGCTTTCAATGGAAAAGATCGTGATTGATGCTTTGTGGTGTGCCTGTGTATGCTTAAATTCTTTTTACATCATTATCAATGAAAGCATTCTTGAAAAGATGTAGGTATTATTATTCTCGCTTCATTGGTTGTGAAGATACTAACAACAGCCTGATAACCAAGTTAGGAGAGCCAGGCTTAACACTCAGCAGGTAGTGTGGCCAAAACGCAGGTCTACTAGCGTAGATAACTACACAACAATCATCAATGTAATTTCCAGTTGAAGTTAACCAGAAACTAGCTCGAAGTCGTTCCAGCTGCATAACTGACTGGTTTCTTTTGGAGAATACATCACTTGGTTCTAGGTGAAAATTAAAATCATTTGAAATGATTTTTATAAGCGCCGGATAGAGTAGACCTAGATTTTTATGTTTTATGGTTAATCCCGCCTTTTTTTGTTTTAGTTAACCAACAAACTATTGTGTTTGCACCCTTACTGTGCGGTTAGCTGTTTGGCTGCTTTTACTTTTACGGACACTGTGAGCTTTAGTGTCATTCATTTTTTGGAATTCGCTTTAATGGTTTGGCATTTTAATTAATTTATGATGTTATAAGTAGTTAAAATTCCTATGAAATACTAGATTACCTTTTTCCCCTGGTCTATCAGACAGCTGTAATTAATATATTTGTAATACCCTAACACATTTGGAATATAGTGAATGAGGCAAACTATCGTCTCCATGAGTGTGAGTTCTGCGGTAAACTTGTGGAAGTTCTCACAATAGATGCAGATGCACTTCTTCTATCCAACCATTTTGGAGAATAAGCTGACATTTAAACTCGCCACTGGTGCAAATTCTGTACAACACACAATGACAGTATAGCTACACCGGACTGTTGGGTAATGACCATAGATTAGGTAGAGAGGATTAAGAAATCTGCAAGTAAGGACACCTAGAAAATATAAATAGGGTATGCATTTTGAGTATTGTAACATCGACTGGAGAGATAACCATGCAGAAGCATAGTGAAACAATGGGAACGGTGGCTGCTGATGGAGAAAAGATTATGATGTAGAACACAATCAACACATGAATAGCATCAGAGGGTGGCAGACTAAACAAACACAAAATCGATAATAAAAGAGATAATGTTTTGAATGCTTCAAAAATTACCAATGTCGAAACAAGTATAGATCCGAAGATTCCAATGAAGTATACCTAATGGAGTACACTCTATGTCATACTGAAAAAGCAGATTTCACCTGACGGAGGATATTTTATTACAAGTTGATTACCGATTGATATCAGCTACAGAACCATTGAAAGCCAGGGAGGGATGTGCCACCTACGACAATGGTTAGGGTCGCACTAAATCACGAATTGGTAGAAGTTAGAATTCATGGGCTTGCCAATGAATCGGGTCCCAGTGGCTGAATGGTATACGAGCTTGCTGGCCTTGTAACCGGAAGGTCCTGGGTTCGAACCCCAGTGGGTGTGTACTGCTGATGATTCCCAAACCAGGATGAAACAGCTGTCCATTACTCCCTGAGACTGGTTTTCAATGATTCTCTAACTGATATCAATCCGTGATCAACTCGTAAAAGCAAAACTAACCCTTACAAACCAAACTATAGAAAATATTTTATTACACACAAAATTTCATGGAAAAAAGGTGATCAAAAAAATCAGGAAACGTAATTTTAATCCAACTGTAAACACTTGAAGAATACAAAAAGTAGTAGTAGAGGATCAGAGAGAAAAAAACATCATCTGTCACAAGGCGTTTAAGATGGAGACAAAAAAATTTGACAATCAAACCCCTGACTGGCCATTGGATAATAGAAGCAGAAGCAGTGAAGCCATAGCGGAATTCAAGGAGGAAAAACCTGAAGATAATGGGCAGTAGGACCTTAGAAACTCATATTGACAAAACGTTTGTTCATAAGTAAAGTGAAAGCAAGGGTGTTTCAGTAACCTACATTAACGCGCGCAGTCTAAAGAACAGGCTTCATAAATTGGGGATACTATTTGAAAGGCCATAGCAATTAATAAGACCTGGTTATGAGTGAGCGTAGATCTCAATCCACACATACTGAGGAACACCTGCAACAAAGCAGATAGTATAGGGTTGGAAAAGATGTAAGAATTAAGTTAACGGCTTCAGAAACACATGACAGTGACATTAATGAAGCCACAAGTTGTTACGATATGTAGAAATCCCGTACTTCGTACTGAAGCATCTGCAGCTTTAGAGTACTACGAATAGGTGTCTGATAATATGAAACTTTAATGTCCCACACATTGTTTGGAGGGGACACACAAAATAGCGTGTAAAATGATTTCAAGAGGTAACTTACACTGACTATTACTAAATGTGCACCTGTCAGCATGTACATGCGCCAATACGATATAACTCTCAGGATGACTCTTCCATTATGGACACACCATGACCATGTAAGTGACGTTAGGTGCCTCCCGTCATTGGATAGCAGTAAACACTCAATCACTACTTTTGCATTTAGGAATCATGACTTCATCTATTGGTTACTATCTCGTTCAAACATTTGGAAAACAGATATATCGGCAATCAGAAACGTAGCAGTCTTAACTGACTAGTCAGTTAACGAAAATCACACTGTTGAAGAAACTTGGATGGAATTTAGAAATACATCAGAGTGTATGACATAACTTGTTGTAGATTGGTCCACTACTTGGAAGCCATCGGAAAAACCTCCATGAGTGGATAGTGAAATAAGAAATAAGGAGAAAACGATTCTAGGATACGTTTACCGGAATAGAGGGGGACAGACTGTCGTAAACCCAACACCTCTGTGGGTGTGCGATCAACAGAAGACATAGAGAATGTAAAAGACAATTGGTAATGGACTCCCCAAACTTTCCCAAAAAGCTATATTAATATATAAAATGTAGGACTAAATTAAGCAGTGATATACCAGCAGTTATAGACAGTGTAGGTGAGGCAGTCATATCAGACAGAGTGAAGGCTGAAAACATCTTTGATCTTTTTTGTCGGACAGTAACACCCAGAAGTTACCCGAAGTCACTGTCACCACTACAAAAATAACCCCAATTATGACAGACAACACAGTGGTCATCAAAGTGCATTCTAAACCAAAGCGGACTACATCATCACTGTAGGAGGGACTCCATTGTGGATCGATAGTCTCCTTACTTGATATCATAGATTTACGGCTTGCCAAGATATTCGCCATGTCTCTAACTCAAGCTAGGCTACTAAGTGATCAAGAGGATGCAGTCATAAGTTCTGTCTTCGAAGAGAGGGATGGGAAATCAGTATCAAATTATCGGCTTTTACGTCCGACATGCTTATAAATGTTGTATAAAATCGTAGAGCATCAAGTGCTAGCTGATGCGGAGGAATACAACCCTTCTGGGGAAGGAACAGCTTGGATTCAGATCAAGAAGATTCTCCTCATAGAACTCACTATTAGCTAGGGAAGATTAAATTGAAGACAGGGTTAGAAACACACCGGCGGATGTAGTTCCCATTATTATTACTAAGGCATTCGATAAAGTTTCTCATTTAAATATTCTCAGTAAAATAAAAGGAATCTAACTAGATAAGTGTCTATGTGATTGATTCAGGCACTGCCTACTGCATAGAAGAGGTCATAGGTAAACAGTGTAGTCTCGGTATGGAAATCGGCATCGAGGAGAGTACCACAGGGTAATATTCCAGACCGCTTATCGTTCTTACCACGCATAAACGAAAAGCTGGAAATTCCCACATTATTTTACTATTTTCTAAGGATATTAAGATGTGGAGTAATGTGAATACTACTACAGGTCAGTCTTACAGGATGACTTCGAAAAAATTAACTAATAGGTCCGGTTGCTGGAGTTTGAAAACCAATTCCGAAAAAACGACGACCATACACCTACGCTAGAGATCCTACACGTCGTATTCTCTGGACGAAACAGAATAACCTAATGTCAAGGAACAAAAGGTCTCAAGAATTATTGTTAGCCACGACTTAAAAACAGCTGCATATTGCAATACGGTTGCAACAAAAGTGTCGCAAGTACAGTATGTAACTCGAGGAGCTTTTAAGCACTCAGATGAGTGTTCGTAATACTCTACTCAAAATAAATCAGACCTGATCTAGAATACTGTGAACAAGCTGCTAGTCCATGCTTCAAGGAGGCGCGAGTCTTGAAAGAAATATAGGGGTAGATAATAAGTTCAAGTGGTATCTCACACCCTTCCTATAAGAAGACGTTGAGACATCTACATCCCGTTCTATCATAACGATGAGGAGAGGCGATTTAATTTCGGCTCATCGAGTAGTAAATGGTGATTTAAGTATTGAAGTTTCTAGTGCTTTCTCTACTCAGGGGATTTCTTCGAGAGGTAATCACAAAAAGGTGCTAAAATTGCGGTAGAACAGACTACAGGTGGAATTCAGATTTCCACCGACTTAACCATCAAGTGGTATCAGTTCAACATGAGTGCTTCCAAAGCGAAATCTGATCTTCAGAAACATACGAAGTGCTAAGTTTAGCACATGCTACAAGAGCCTAGTATCGTTGGTCGTTTGAATCTATCCTCAAGCACTAACTATAATCTAATTTCTCCAAGAGCTCACATGTAAAACAAGATCAAAGTCAACCAGTAAAAACTACCACTCACTATTCTGACAGCTGCACCCTTTCCACGGTTTCTACTAAGGGATATGACACGGACAGTATCCGAACCTTCCATTTTAGAATATTTCTGAGCAATCTAAAAATCCAATCGTTTAATTACAAACAACCCACCTCTCTTGTATGGTCTTTACTGCCATCATTTACAATAATAATCTCGAAAGTAAATGCCTTATTCATATTCTTTACTACAATGCATTGAAAATCACAAAATTACTTTTCTTTTGTTAAGGTAATCCAAAGTTTCAGCCAACATTCCAGGAACTACCGTTTTATAAAACCTGTCTCATTTACATAATTTGACTCACGTCTTTCGACTTCGTTGTACGCCGGAATAATAACTGAAAGTTCTTTCTCAGGTCTTTCTGTAAGCCCGTATGGTAATTTAAAGCATTCCGAAGATTCTGGATCAAAAAAGTACTCTTCTTCGCTAGTCCGAGATAGATTGGGATATGGATCTGTGGTGAGATACATCACAATAAGAAGCTAAAAAATAAGCTTTCAAATGTAAATGGCTCACAATAAATGTGATGATGACTATCGTCGTGACGATAGACATAATGCTCAAAACCCACAGCTCCAAGGTCATTTTAGGGATGCTTGAATAGTGCGGACATCAGCCTTGATAGACGTATTTCACAGTGCCTAGTATGAACAAATAAAAAGATTCAGATGATAAACGGAAGTATGCTGCTGTATATCGTTTTGATCATTAAAGATTCGGTGAAATGCGAGGATTAGGACAGTCTAAAAAAGGTAAATATTTGCCGGTTGTAACGAATGATTTTTTCTCTCACACTGAATCTCTGTGTTGTAAGTTCAAATGTCTCGAACCAAAGCTCCTGGTGTCATCTTTTTAGTATCATTTTCCACACTCGATCAAATCAACGAGACCATCTGGACAGCTCTATGACTCTTGTGAAGCTGAACAACCTGAGAGACCTAGGCAAATTCGGGGCTTCTCTCTCACAAATTATCAGTTGTAGTTCTTATTTCCTTAACCAAACATTCTGTCTATGTTTCTTTTTTCGTGGATTAGTGGCGCCCCATAACAAATGATAATACAACAGCCGAATTTAGCCTTAAAGAGAGCATTGTTACACCATATTCTGTAGTGAACAGGACTTTAGTTAGGTGAGGAAATAAAGCAGAATCATCGACGCTACCTCAGATACAGGCTCATAAGACGCAGACGCATACCCTCGGCTTAAATAGTCTGCACAGTCCACTGACAAAACTGCATAGATCGAACACATACAAAAATGTGACTTATACAACCCTAGGTATGTAGCCAGTGTGTCACATATAATAAGAATAAAATCAAACGTTAAGAATTTCAATTAATTTCGAAGTCTTTTTTGAGAAACATTACGAGGGCCAAGTCTGTAGTTCTGTTGTCTGTAAAAGCGAGTAGGCATTCCAGTTCAATTTTTGCATGCGATAAGTGCACTGTCGATGTGACGAATGAGTGTTGACACCATATTTTGAGTTTGTGCTAGAAACAAACCCATACCCATGGTCCTGGTACATGTGCCAACTTTATTCTTGTGCCACAGCCCTATGCAATGTTCCTAGGGAAAACAAGGACAGAAAGCCTTCAAAACTAGCCTTTAACTATAAATATGATGCTCTGGCCCAATCTGCTCAGATTATTAATCAACAGAAACCAAATGCGAATAAATTGACATCTAGTATTCATTCTAATCTCATTAAACTCTCAAACATAACCGTACAAGCAAACTCTGACATTGTTAAAAGATCACTTGTATCCGCTAGCAAGCATGATCCTAGCAGCTCAACATACAATAACACCCTAGCTAAGGCTACCGAACTTTGAAATAAAAGCAGGCAAACAAGGGCATAATGTTTATGAGCCAAATATGCGAATCAAATCAAACACTTGTACGCTACATTCATTATTTATAAGATCAACTAGTATGCAGGTACTACGATTTGACCAGTTATACAAAGTTTAGTATATTTAGACACGCTGATTGTTTTGTTGACGCATTTCCTAAAGCTATGCAGCTACCTTAAAATAGTTTCCGCTGATGGTAATCTTCTGTGGCTGCTACTTCAGTGAGCAACTTAACGTTATCTTTGAATAACAGAGTAAAAGCGGACATTCTGAGAACTTTCTCAATAAAAATGTCGTCTCCTAGCCAAAAAACTGAATATATCGAAATCTCCACGAAAGCGTTTAGAAGTATTTATCCTATCACCTCACATATCTCACTATGTGTAGTCACTTAAAAAGTAGGAATACATCTACCTAAAAAGTGTGTGTATTATTTCTAGATGTTGTAATTCACCATGCGGTAAAAGCTGTATCCACGGGGTTTTAGCAGTTAGACGCTTGATACTAAACCGAAGCATAGGGACTACGGTGCTTAGTCACAGATTATTCTACCAAGCAATCTATTCGTCTTATCGTGTCAGCAGATGTTACACCAAGTAAAATAAGACCACCAGTTCAAGGAAAATTTATTTAAAGTTTTTTGGTTCATGAACATCTGTATTTATGGACAAGCAGAAATCACAAACAACCGAAAAGTAAGAGTTTGATCATTTGAACTAAAACAAGCAATTTGTATCCAGCCAATGTTTTCACTCCGAATAATAATCAGCGTCTCAGATTGTTGTAGCTTCAAAATGACCACGGATTGTGAACCAAAATCCAAAATGTTATTTTCGCTAACTAGTCTTACCCTTAACTAAGATAGTTCGCCCACCCACTCATCGTACGCTACCCTTTTTTTTTAAATCGTTTTGCAACATATTGAATGATTGTTAACCTTGGCTTTACTACACATAGTTCTATTTCATGTGATTGGATCTAGTACTTTAGGCATTAGCTATATATGTGACATAAGGGAATGACTATATGTGACACTTACCCTTTAGAGTTTTCTGATTGCTTTCCAGTTTCTTTTCTTTCCCAAAAATTCATACAAGCACAATAAATTCATACTGTACATGTGGTTGATCCCTGATAAATTTAGATTCTCTCACAATAAATCTGGTTGTTTAACTGATAACAGACAAATTGATGGTATACTCACCTTCTCGAGAAGCTACAAAGCTTTTTCAAATTAAACCCGGGTTCTCAATTCTCAAGGTTTAATGTGTTCGACGAAAACCTCGCTAATACAAACTCTGATCATGCTGTCAACATGATTGTAAAAGAAATCGTTTTTTAGTTTTCTACATATAAGGTAATCACTTGAGCCAGCAACAGCAGCGGAAATCAACAAATGAACTGGAACAAGAGCTTTTTACACCTAGACACGCTCATCTCCATAATTTCAAAAACTTCTACTTGGTATCATTTCCTAAGCAGCTGAAAAATAACTAAAACCTTATAACCACGCGTGAATCCAACGTGTGACACAACTTAAGCGAAATGAATGAACTGACGTGGAGATAAAAACATTTGTAGCCAAGGAAATAACTCATTTTAAGAGTAAGGAGAAAAAATGAGGTGTCATGCGACATATGGGGGCAATGTGCACCGAGATAAGCTGTGACAAGTTGCAAAATAAAAGTAAAAGCCAGTGTGTAAAAAATGTCAAAGAATTTAACCCCAAGTTTTTATTGTTACGAAGATGCTCTGAACCGATAAATACTACGACTGATTCTCGACTTTAACTCCAAAACACCAATGGATTTAAGGAGGAAGTTGTATTATTTGGCAATTAAAATCGAGGGTAAGTACGTAGTTTTTACTCGTTTTCGTTTGTCTTCTTCGAACATGTAAACGATTGAACCATTCGCGCCTTTGAGTTGCCCACCAATGGCGACCAAGGCCGATGAACCGACGTTCTATATTCACGTCCAGTGACAAACGGTTAGGGAAGTGCAATACAACATGACTGACTAATTTTGATGAATGTCTTCTTCAGGTGTTTACGTCTACTAATCATTTTGGCATTCGTAGGCTGACTTGCCTAAATACTAGGAAACCGCCTGTGCCTCCTAATGAAGAATATCTTCTTTGCTCGACCCCAAATGACCTTTTTATTAGACTAATGATTCTCATGAATGTTTAGGATTAGCTACCGCTCTTAGCCAGCCTCGTCAATGTGCATCTACCAATTCAATATACAAATTAAAGGCTCGAGATATTTCTGATTTTTATGAGGGCTTAGATCTTTATCTTGAAAAAGATAATAATGAACGCCTTGACAGATCATGCTTCTACCTTTAAATATACCATTCGCTCAGCCTATTGTTGAGACGCTACCACGCGGGATCTGCACAGATTTATGGGGCATCTTATAAACTAACTTGCTGTCCATTGTCTGATCCTTAAATACCACTTCACAATGTCTTATCTCATTCATTTTCCAATAACGTCTTTACTTGATCCTCATTATATCCTATTAAACCTAACATTTTACAGCTCTTTATGACTTATTATATTCCTACTCTCTGAAGGGTACGGTTGTACACTAAATGCACAAAAAGGTATAAAACAAAAACAACTGGCACAACTGAGGATAAATGTATTTAAACCAAAAGTGGACATCATGATAGTACGAGATATACGTGTAGCATTATACATTGCAAATGAACGTTGTCAGCCTAGGGAGTTTTCTTTTTTTTAATGCATTTATTAATGATACTTGCACTTACCTATTTCATTACAATTTAATGATTCACCTCAGCACTTTTACTTTTCTAAAACAGCTTTCAATCCCTTGTAAACGTTGTACTTACCTCAATATTGGTTGGTTATCGTATGCCGACAACCACGGGATGAAAACGAAACGAAGTCGATTTTCCCACTCAACCTGGAGGACAGATGTACAATTCAATAACTATACGGCCTGGTTCAGAAAATGAGTATATTTACATATATATGTGTATCAAATATTTAACAGTTGAAACATTATTAACTTGTAGACAATCTACGATTTGATATTATATCATACTTGATCGTGCCTGTAAAAATGGCATGCATTTTCATGTAAATTTATATGTTTATATGAGAATATACATTATTATTATTATCTGTTTTTGTGGGGCTAGGTGTGTCGGCCCTATCTAGGGTTTGCCCTCCAAACGTATCATTGAACACTCAGCCGCAGTCATGATTTTATGAAGGAGGAGAAAGATCCCCCAAGACCTATTATGGACCAACTGATCAAATCGGAACACCGAGCAAACCCCCAAAGTCACTTCAAATAATCTGTTGAACACGTGAGAATCTTGCAAAAGGACGAGGAGTCAAACTTCTTCAAGCCGCAGAAGCAGTGGCACAGTGGTTAGGACTCTCGCCGACCATGCACATGGTCCGGGGTTCGAGCCCACGCCGGCGCACGCCTGATATCTATGGTCGGCCTGCAAAATTTGGGCTACTGATATCCATGCTGAAAATTCCATACTTGTACCAAAAATACAGTGTGGAATCAAGCTGTAAATCAAAAAAAAAAATCCCAAACCCTGTGTACAAAAGAAGTTCGTTTAGTCATTAGATTTACAGTTGACCTGATCCATCTTATCACCGAATAGTTAATCTTTGATTTTTTTCTTAACTGTGTAACCCACTCCTTATTAAGATTCTACCCCTAATTACCACTGTAGTCAAACTGATTCACGTTCAAATTCAGCTAAATTTTACTCAACCTCATTAATTTTATTTCAAAACAAAACTAATCTTTTAAATTGAAGTTCCTGCCAGACTAACGCTTTCTATACTGGGTAGTTTGCGTTCTAAA